ACTGCCATGATGCAACAGAATGAAATTTTGTGGTAATATATGGCAAATTTTTAAAAGCTGCATCGAATGGTATATAAGACTTTCCTTCAAACTTGTTTCATTCTGAGAAAAGTACCAAAAACAATTCTACACATCTTTCGAGAAGATCTGAAATGATGCCGATTCTCGTTCTTATTGCACCCCGTCCTTTAAAGATGTTCAGACCTGATATTTAAATTCAAATAATATGTTTGCCCAGTCAAACCTTTCCAAATTCAAAGTTTTATCTAATCATTGATGAAAGTAACCGCAAATACAAAGAATCATTGGAAAAGGATAATAATCAACGAGTAGTAGTTTGACTTGTAACAAAAGTCAACTATGTATGTCTTCATGGTTTAAACATGTTTTTTTTAATTCCCTTTTGAATACTAGAACACAAATACAGCAGTGTCCGGATTCTTTGAAAAAGTTAATTATTCTTTTGCGTCGAGAATTAAACTTACAAAAAAAATTATGTTCAATGTCAAAACGTCGAAGCCAGCAAAATAATATAAAAGGAGTTATAGAAATCATTCTTTGCTTTCTCTGAACATCCACTTCAGAGTTATACACCGAGGTGTGGTGTGGAATAGAAGAGATTTGATTTCCGCTATTGTCAAAGGGTTTGTGGCTTTAGACCGTAAAGTTGGGCCTCTGCTATGAAGCAACTGATAATTAATTAGCATTGAATCAAAAGAAAAAGCCGATGGAGCCGAAGCAGCAGTAATTTGGCTCTATAGCGGGAGGTAAGTAGCATAGGCACATTATCTGTGCCAAAGTTCTGCTAACGCTTCAAATGCATTTAACTAGATGCTATAGCAACCCGAAAGTTTGTTCAGATTACGAATTCTGAATGAGCTTGCGTACCAGCAACGTGCCTCAGTAGAAAAAATCTAAACTTCGTAAACCTGATCTAGTTTATTTAACAAGCAAAGATAGAGATGTCATAATACGGATACAGACTGTATCCACTGAATCTACAGGTCCTGATGCAACAATACACGTATTCAACTAGCGTGCATGTGTATACATATTAAGGGCACCCCTCCTCAGAAATTATCACCGGCACCGTACATCCGATCTTAACGAAACTTTCCGTAAATGTTCGGCACAATGAGTTATGGGAATGAAAAACTTTTATTGTCTCCAGATCTTACGTTTTAGGAGTTTTCCAGAGATCAAGGTCCAAAAAGGACCCTGAACGGCGTCCCAAGATTTTTTAATATACTTCAAGCTGGAGAGTTCGGGTTTGTTTTATTTTAAACTAGACACCTAACTACATCGACTGACCGGCGCCGATTTTTTAATTAAGCCTTTATTGATTTTCCAGGCAACCAACAACCTGCGAAACCCGAAAAAGCCTTCCGGATTTTCTAAAAATCCTCAGTTTGACAAAAAACTAAGACCTAATTCAAAAATCGACGCCGGTCAGTCGATGTAGTTTCTTTTCCTCTTTTAAACAAAAAAAGAATGAACTCTCTACGACGAACCGCTATCAAAAATCTTGGGACGCACTTCAGGTGTAACTCTTATATAGCGAAAACGCTGTATGAAATAGTCGATTTTATGACTTCTAGGAAAATGCCTGTAACTTCTCGATGCAAGACCATACAGAGCTGTGCGGAGTCTTATTTTGATCAGAAACGTTTGCTCTACAAAGCTGTGTTTTAGGAAAAATTTTAATTGCACAAGTATCCAGGAAAAAACCATTCTTTGAAGACCCGTTTTGTCGAGGCTCTTAGAAAACTTGCTCAAAATCCCGGAAAAACCACTTTTATAACCAAAAGCAATACAGATTCTGGAAGTAGACACTTCAGGCTATCTTTTCATGTGCGTATCTTAAAACCGATTTTTTGACCGAAAATCACCATTTCTGAGGGGGGCCCTTAATCCTTGACAGCTGTTCTCATTTTTAGACTTCATGGTTGCTCAGGGATCCGGTTCGACCCACACGACAACGTAGGGAAGTAGTTCAAGTCTTTTACCATTTGATTGAAGCTTTGCATGCATGGATCAATGGTCTACATCATGCTCCTTCTAGGCGTGAATATGTTGATACTGATACAGGGTATGCAAACGTATATTATTTAGAAGACATTTTTGGGAAAGATTTTATAATTAGGTATGCACCAGCTTTTAACTGGTGTTGTAGCACCCGGGAAAATTTTTATACATCGGTTATCAAGATTCACTCATAGCTGCGGAACATCTCATTTTGCAGAAAAATGTTTGCTCTACCAAAACGATGACAGAGAGCGGCTCTAACACGGGCGGAAATATTATCGTAAATATAACACCATGGTTGTTATCGGGTCCGTGTACACTTCAGTTTTTTGTCTGTAAGACTAATTCACGAGACTTCATGTAGGTAGTGTGCGCGGATAGAAGATTGACGATTAGGAAAGAGAGCAGCTCGAAAGAGGTGAATACTGCCGAGTAAGAAACAAAAAACTGCACAGTGGGTCCAACTGGACCCCCAAACAGCTGTCAAGGGTTAACGCGATCCGTTCTAAAATAACAAATACCTCCATCTATTGACTATACGTCACGAGAAGCCGTGGCTTTTGAAAAAATTTTCCGCCCTGCTCCGTTCGCGATCTCCCCCGTACCCCTGGATCTTTCAAAAACTCTTATTTTCGGTTCTTCATCGGGAATCGGAACCGCGGTTTCTTAGACGGTTCGTGTTTTTCGGAACTGAGACCTTTTGGCTTGCCTTTCTTTTAACAAAATGAAAACACACTATTGACAAAACCACAAAAAGATATATTTGCCTGTTATAATTTAAAAGAATCTTTTCGTTTACTATAAAATGAATTCTATTTCGTTGAATATGTTTCTGCCTAAAATTGTTTTCTGGTTCTCAGCTGAGAACCGAGAGCTGCGGTTCGGTTCTAAGTTCGGAACCGGAACCGCGGTTTCTTTAGTTTGGGTTCCAATTCGAGAACCGAACATTCCTAGTGGCATCGCAGCATACATATAATTGAACTGGTCGCCTCCGTTTTCATCACAGGGAAATAACTCGAAATGATTTTTCGGTTTTGAACTCATATTTTGCCAGTAAGTAGGACTTGGCGACTAGAAAGACCCAAAAAGGATATGGCTCCACAGTCACTTGATAAAAAATAACGGCCCAATCACGTTTCAAGCAAAAAGTGTCAATCAGAAGATGAATGATATTTTTCTTCGCAGGAAAGCAAAAGCAGAGTTGAGCGATGCAGCTTCTATAATGGCGAGCTCTTACTGTTATCTCTTCGACCCCAAAGATTGACATTTTTTTACCCATGTGAATCGCGAGAAATCCAGTTCTCAAGAGAGCGGGGAGAAATGTGGATTTTTCTATGTTTCACTTCAGCATCTGGCGGGAGCTATCGATCAAAATAATCAATATCGACGCGGTGCCCGTCATGTTAGTGCATGGCTTTTTTGTGGTGAGAGTTACATTACCATCAGATACTTCACATCAACAACAGCTCGCCCAACAATCGTGTGATAGGATCCGTCTGCAGATTTACCAAAAAGTTTCCACCACCAAGGTTTATCCTATAGCTGCTAGAATAAATCCTGACGAGGATTTATAACTTTATAGATGTCTTAAGACCACGTTTCGTAACACTAAGGCAAACTTAAATCAAGACGAGATTGGAGTCTGAAATGTCCCGATTCTAGTCAGGGGCCTGTTTCTCAAAACTACTTAAGTGTGGTCTGTGTCTCAAAAAAACTTAAGTTTTACTTAAGTGGAAAATTTCACTTAAGTAAGTAGAAATTATACTTAAGCTTTTTAAGAAACACACTCAAGTTTTTTTAAGAAACTAGCTCCAGTTCTTAATTATGAATAAATCGACACTTGAGTATTCACTTAATTTTAAGAGCTATTTAAGATTATTGATGAAACGATTCCCAGTTCAAGAAACTAGAATTATTGAAACAATCTGCTTACTCTATGAAATAGATTTTCTAAACACTATCCAGTAGTTTCATGGAATAAAAATCATTTGTTTATTTGTTTGTTAAATCTTCATTTCCATAGCGTGCACAACACATGTATGAGGAATGACAAATGTACCATAAGTTAAGTGAAAACCGACTAATGATGTGAAAACCTCTGTATGTAAAACTTTGTTTTCAAAAATTCGACGTCAGAATGTTATCATCTTGTCGGACTCTACTTGATTTTAAGAAATTCAAACTTTTAATCGTAAGAGAATCAATCATTCACAGGGTACAAAGTCATTTCCTGATTTGTTCAATCTTTGACCAGTACAAAACAAACAAACAATTAAAAAAAGTACATTTATTTATTTATTGATATATGATATATTTATTTATATATCAATAACCAGAATTGATACAAGTAAAATATCTATGTATATCTCTTTATTCCAATTAAAGTAGCTTGGAAAAAAACTTTCACAGATAGTATTAATATATCGTTCTGAGGAGATTTAAACAACTCATTCTCATGAGAATACTACAGTGTATCTGCAACTCTACGGGAAAGCTCGTCTCTTGATTTTTTAGGATATCTTTCTTTTACAACTATTATGCACTCTATTATCAACTAGTACATGTGGAATAATAAAAAAAAGCCTCTTGTTTCATATACTTTTGTTATATGAGGGAAAGCAGAATTGATTGGATTTCAGTTTCAGAGAAATTCACATGCAAGTTTTTAAGTACTGCAATAATAATAGCAGGAATGTAAAACAGAAAAAAGACTCGAAAATTTTCACCTGAATTTCTTTCAACCGTTCATTCAATCAATTGTACTTTTTTTATATAATAACACGTAAGAGACTTTCATTCACCAGGAAAATAGTTTCAGAGAAATAACTCTGTTACATATAAGTTAAACCTTAAGTATATGTGTTTATGTTTTATTCTAGATGAAAAATAGCTATACTTTAAAGTCTTGGCCACAGCTAACATATTTTAGATCAAACGTTGTTCGATTTTGGTTTCCTTTGAATCGTATTAATTAAATGACAGGTTGGTTCGAATTAGGAGGATAATTGTGTTCTTTGCCTCTGCTGGATATGAAAAATAAGTTCAGTTTAAATTTTAGGCTCAACTCAAATGGCATCTGGTTACAAAGTGTTTGTTCAAAAACCATTGGAAATTAAAACAAAATCCATCGAATCAACACTGGTACCACTCGTAACACAGGTAAAACTTCTTTTTTCTTCAATTAGAGGTGCAAAAAGCAAATTACAATCATACATAACGATCGCTTTTCGATCACAAGATCTATTGTTCTGTTATAAAAATTACCTGCCTGTTACCATACGTGTCTTTTACTAGATTTCAACATTAGTGAATTTTAAAGAAAAACCAAGAAATGCAACAACTGAAAAAACATTAAATGCGATTAATCGCGTTGGAGAAGCTGTTCATTTAGCTGTTGAACGATTTGTATCTGTTGGTAACTATTAGTGCTAGTTTTCTCCTTCATAAATGTGACTTTACATCATCTTTTCTAGGTGAGGCAATAGCCGATGAAAATTCAGATATTAAAACAGACTTGTTGGAAGCTTGTCACGAATCAAGAAATGCTGGTAAGGCAAAAAGATTCTAAACTTTTGTTTCGAGTACAAGTCTTATATTGATTTACAGGAGAAACTATTCAACGTATCACATGTGTTGAGTACAACAATTATGGAAAACCAATCTGTGTTACTGATCGACAAAGTATGGTACAAGCAGCTAGAGGATTGTTATCAGCGGTAACGAAGGTTTTACTTCTCGCCGACATGGTTGTAGTTAAACAAATAATAAATGTGAAAAAAAAAGTAAGCATTGATACGATGTTTACTGTGTTCTTATATTGAACATTTATGGTTTAGGTTGTCACAACTCTAAGTAAATTAGAATCTGTACCATCGTTCTCCGAATTTGTAAAAGCTTTTGGGCAATACGGCAATCAAATGGTTGAATTAGCTCATTTAACTGGTGATCGTCAAAATGTAGGAAGTCTGAAAAAAGAATTTAGTAATAAATGCTCATAGTTTTTGTTTTTGTTCGAAAGGATCTAAAAGACGAACGACGACGATCTCAATTATCAGCTTCTCGAACAATCTTAGAAAAATCGACAATGCTTATTCTAACTTCATCTAAAGTATAATTTTTATTCAACTGAAGTAGAACAATGAAAGACATGTTTTGTATTTTAGACTTATCTTAGGCATACGGAATGTATACATGCGAGAAAATGTCGTGAACTTGTTTATACACAAGTGCGTCGAGCATTAGATATGGTCCAATTAATTGTTATCGATTCGGGATCAACACAAACAAATACACCAACATTATCATTACTTTTAGCAAAAAATGAAATTAATTTTGTGAAAGCGATGAGACAATTTGAAGTAAAGATATAACATTAGATATATATATATAATATATATATATATAGATTAACGAGCATAATTGATTCATCGTATTTGTTTAGTACGCTGTGGAAATGCTTCATGTTTCACCAAGTTCAACCTCAAAAGAAAATTTAGAACAATTATGTAACAATACAATTGATAATAGTCAAGATTTTACTGATTCACCCTATATTAGTCATGAACAACGTGAAAAAGTTCTCGAATATCACAAGCGTTTACATGATGAATTAGCCGAAGTTATCAAATATGCAACAACTGACACACCTTTGATGGTATGTATCACTCTTATAGTTAAAAATAGAATAAAAACAACTTTCTTGCTATAGAATCGTCAAAGTGATTTATTATCAGCGGCAATATCGAATATTCAACAAGTAGCAAGAGATTTTCGACGACAGGTAAATAAATACCTACAAGCACAGAATTGTTAACTAATATGATAATTATATTAGCTTGAAAATATGGCAATGTTTCGAGCATCCGAATTCTTTCGTACTCATGATGAGGGTGCGTTATTAAATGAAATAAAAACTTATTCCATTACTGGTCGGATGGATCTTCTTCAAGAGTCGTCAGACAGATTTAGAGAACAAGCTGATATAGCTCTTGAAGTATGTTAAGTTAGTCAAATTTCTCGTCGTTCTATTAACATAACACTTTTTGTATTTCAGCTTAGTAAATTATTACGTCATATTAGTTCGTGTGATCAACTACAAGTATCAAGCGAATATCATGATAATATGTTTCAAAACTTATCAGATATGGTACGGTTGGATGTCTTTTATAATCTCATCGAATTATTTCCATTTTTGATTTTTTTGATTTCCATTTTTAGATTATTTGTGCTTCACAATCATTAGCATCTCATCAAAACAGTCGTGTACCAAAAGAAAATTTAGATGTTTTATGTCGATTTTGGGAGCAACAGATCAATGATTTTTCGGTATTAGTGAAAGAAATACAAGATTTTATATCGGGAAAAGGAGAGAAAACTGTTTATCTATCGTTACCTCGTCCTGGTAAACATGGTACAACTGCTCGCAATACGTTTAAACCAACAAAATTAGATTCAGATGAACAAGCAAAAATAGCTAAAGTGGGCCTAGAAATGAAATTAGTCACATCGGAAGTGGATGCTGAAACAGAAAAATGGGATGAACCACAAAACGAAGTTGTTAAGGTATTTTTATTAATTAATATGGCGTTTTAGAGAATATGACTATTCACATCGTTTTTGTCCTTTTAGAGGGCGAAAAACATGTCAAGTATGGCATTTTCGATGTATTTGTTCACGCGTGGCGATGGTACACTGAGAACAACACAAGATTTATTTACACAAGCATACTATTTTGTTGAAGAAGGAACACGTTTGTGTGCTATTGTTCAAGAATTTTCAAATCAAGTAAAAATAACTAAAAAACGTGTAGTATTTAAATCAATCTTTTGCTCTATTATATGTTTATTCTTTTATAGATACCGAATAGTATAGCAAGACAAGATCTTTTAGCACAATTAGAAAAAATTCCACTTATGTGTCATCAATTAAAATTAAGATTAAAAACACCAGCGTTAGGAAAAAGTTCGACATTTGCAAAAGTAATGGAAACAGTTTTCGTAAACAAAGAGATATTAAATTCTATTATATCTTTTTTTTTCTTATATAGGTTGATACTGTAATCGGTGAAACGAGAGATTTGATGAACACAGTTGCCCGATTAGTTACAACATGTTTTTTGTGTCAAACGAAAGTAAGATTCGTTCTTCTCAATTGTAATTCCACTTGAGTATTGTCGTAGTCGAACAGGATAACCAAGATACCTCTTGCGTTTACAATTATCTAGTTATACATGTAGAAGAGAAGAATTATGACTTTCACACTTTTACTTATTTCGTTTTTCTCTTTCTCTCGATAGTACAATATGGATTATCGTTCGCCTCTGATGACACGTGATCCAGTGATATCTAATCATTATCATCATCAACATCCTTATCATCCGCTCTCAACAAATTCTCGACCTCTTCTCTCCTCGTCTAAATGGCATTCGCCTTATCGAACACAATCAGTTGAGCGCGGAGCAGGATTTGATACAAATGATGAAACAGCTAGTTGTAAATCTGAAAGAGCTCTACGTTCATCATCATTACAACGGCCCGTTAATTACCTACCAGCTTTCGACCGAATATGAGTTTGTAAAATCGTTTTACTAATTGAATTCTGGCATTATTATAGCATTTTATAACTGATGTTTATTTACTAATCAAATCTATACTGGCGACGAATAGTAGTATTTGTAAAAAAATTTTTTTGTGTTCTTGCAACTTTTTTATTTATTAATCTACAATATATTACTAAAAGAAAAAGGTCACTTTTTTTAAGGTGAGTCCTCTGGATTATCGTAGAAAATATTTAACTTTTTGTATTCTACAATCAATCAGTGTGTTTTTTTAGTTATTTTTTTTAGTTGTCGTGCATTTACTTATTCATGTACAACATCTTATTGCGTATTTTTTACGAATTTCTTTTCTTTTGTAATCTCATTTGTGTGCATGTGTGATTTTTCCTCTTATCAACTTTTTTTATAGCCTTGTGTGTATGTGTGTGTAAATCATTTTTCATTTTTTTTGTACATATAGTGTGTGTCTTGTTTTTATATGTGAAAACTCGTTTGTTGTTGTTTTATCATTCAAATCCGTATGTGTTGTTAGCATAGCATAGACAACAATGATTAGTAAAAAAAAGTGATTTTGAGTAAAAAAAAAGGGTTTAGGTTTGGTTTGATAATCATTCATTAACGAAGCTCATGTAAATGCTAGATTTTATACTAGACATGTTGCATGGGGACACTAAAACATAAGCGAGTGGACCAATTAAGTTGCTATTTAAAGTATAAGAATTTGAAAGTACGTTCTTTTTAAGGGACAAATCGAATAGACTAAATCTCTAGTTCAATCGATTTTTCTAGACAACTGAGGGATTTGTATTATTCGACTATGTACACAATAATACAAATACATTTTGTGTTAGAGAAATCTTGTACGGATATAATCTTTTTAATAAAATAATCGTATTCAGAATACTTAAAAGATCATTTTAAAAAAATATTTTAAATAGCACAGTGGGCAATCAAGCGGACATTAGGCGAAAAAACGAAAGTGAACTTTTTCAAGATTCAAGTAGCATATACTTTATAGGTCATATACTTTAGCTTACGCTCTATTTAAATGGCATTGGAAGTTTTTGTAGATGTTTTCCGAAGAGCGGACTTCAGTATAGTGCAGTTCCCATTTTTTCCCAAACTTCAAATTGAACGAAACTTTCACAGAATATTCTTCTACTAGGAACACATCTATGTTGTTAGCGCAAATGTTTCTAGACCGAGTTATATGTTTTCTAAAAAATCGTTGGTTTTTGACGTAAATTCGACTTTTCTCGGTCTAGAAGTGACTGTATTAGAAAATAATAACATATTCGTAATCAGCGCACAAAACTGCGTCTAACGATTTATAATTTGTAAGTTTTTCTGTACAAAATTTTTCGATCTAACGAAGTCCTAGACCTGGGGGCCGTATCACAAAAAAACTTAAGTCAAAATTTGGACTTAAGTCTAGACTTAAGTTTTTTTGTAATACGACTCCCTGAAGCATTATCGCGGCAAATTTTGACTAGGCGTTTTGATATTTATTTTAGCAACTATGCAAAAGACCACAAATACTGTTTTTATAGGTTTTTAGATATGCTCTAGTATTTTTATGTAGATTTGATGGAGATTGGGGTCTCCAGAAATCCCAGAAAATACATTTTTGAACACTGTAAACCACACCGTCGAAAAGAGTATATCTAAAAATATATACAAACAGTATTTGTAGGCTTTCGCAGTGCTTCTATAGCATATGTCTACTTCCCTAGCCAAAGTTGCCTACTGTTGTATAGCCCAATCGGATATAAGTTTGATTTTTTTAAATAAAAGTCGTTAGCGAAAAAATGATGACAGTCACGGAAAGTTTTGACCAAAAAAATATATCCCGATTGAGATATGCTTCCTCACTGTATTCAAGTTTTTTTAATCCACACCATTTTATTTAAGATGCGTGCCATTTTAGATTGATCGAAAGGTCATAAAGAGATTTTTAGCGGTCGTTGAAATTTTCACCTAGTATAGATGATAATTAGAAAATAAAAATTTGAATGATTTTTTTCTGTCAATAATCTTAACTTCTGATGCTAGACTTGTTTGACACCTTCAATTCTTAATGGTGGTTCGAGCTCACGCGTCTGTTCCTCTAAATCAATCGGTTTTACCACGAATGTGAAACATAACATTATGTTCTAGACTAGCATCACTTTGCAATGTATTTGTAATGGGGTAGTGGACCCCCCTAGTTTTCTAGTTCTAGAAACCCCTATTGAACTAGAGATTTAGTCTATTCGATTTGTCGCTTAAAAAGAACGTCCATCCAAATCCTTATACTTTAAATGATAGCTTAATTAGCCCAGTCGCTTACGTTTTTTACTAGACTAATCTTCTCATGCAATACGTCTATCCCGAAAAATTTTGTTGTTTGAAATCTGAGCGTTCATTTGTTAATAAAAAGCTACAAAACAATTTAGAGTCAATAATTTAAGAGTCATACAAATTTACGAAAATACAATATTCAAAAATGACCCGTAAGATTATGTCAAAAAGAAAATAAGTCTTCAGAAATTTTAAGTCGAATCTATCATCAGCGAGACATAAGTTATTTAATACATTGAGAATTCGAGGGATATCTTCTCTCAAATTGAACAAGAAAAGGCATTTTGATGAAATATTTTCTTCTTTCGATGATTCAAGACGCTACTGGTCGTCGTTGAATAAACTTAGTACAAACAAGTCCAACATTCGAAAAGTCGTTGTTAACATATCCAATCATAATTCCTTATCGATTTCGGACGTGTGTGACATGTTCAATCAAGAGTTCTCTCTTGTTTTTCATCATCTTTGAGCAGTAATAAAAAAAGGTCGTTGTTGTCTTCCGTCAACGTTGCGGTAAAGTTATCTATTACTGACATATCCGTGCAAGACATACATGAAGCGATCAAAAAACACCAGCAGTACAGGTGAGCATCGACGGTATTGCATTAAACTTTTACAAACCATGTCTTCCAGTCATCAATAAACAACTTCTATATATGTAGGAATGCACCAGTTTTTAACTGGTGTTGGGGCATCCGGGAGAATTGCTATACATCAGTTATCACGATTCTCTCAAAACTGTGAAACATCTCATTTTGTAGATCTACAAAATGAGATGTTTCACAGTTTTGAGAGAATCGTGATAACTGATGTATAGCAATTCTCCCGGATGCCCCAACACCAGTTAAAAACTGGTGCATTCCTATATATATATATCGATTGTCATTAGAAACTGGTATTTGTCCTGAACGAAAAGTCACAGGTATCATATCGGAGTTTTCAACTTGTTCTGACATTTTTTAAGTGGGTACTGAATTTTTTAGTATTAGGTGAAAACAGCCTGAAAATCCTAATTTTCGTAAAATTTCGTTTTCAGGCTTTTGTATTTGTTTCCAAAAACAAACATTGCTAGAAGATTCAGCATTGTCGATCACCTATGTTCCATCCGATTTAAAACAAAAAAGTCTTTTTCTCTATGCTAAACTGGTAACTAAGGACGAGTCACTTTGTACAGTTTTTTATTGCCGATTTTTCTATACCAAGCTTTATCCGATTTCTGGTTCAGATTTTGGAAAAAATCATATTTTTAGAAACCGTAATACATTAGCCACACTGTCACAAAAACCACGATAAAAACTTTTCTAGAACATTTCTAAGACTCGGCTAGTAGACTCCTGCGGGGCAGCCACGAATCCGTCTGTCCCGTGGGACAGACGGGGTCGGGACAAAAAGAAATTTATGGGCTTGGGCTCATGGACTTGGGGCAAGAAAAAAATTTCACGGGGTCGGGACAATGTCGGGAAAATGTTGTTCCGTAAGTTTTACCTTTTGATTGTAATTATACTGTAACTTCAAATATTTAATTCTTGTAATATCGGATGACCCAGAATAAATGGCCCTCGTCATATTTTGCTTATAATTTTTTTCTTTTCGATCCTTAGACCTGATCGTTTTTCGAAAAGATGCGTCGTCAAATTCTCTACAAAACTTGATTAAACTTATTTCTATAAAAGGTTAAGGAGAAAAATGAAACGAAAAATATTCAACATGACGAAAGGCACCAACTTTCTAAGCCATTGTGTTTTACAAATTTTGGAATATTTTAAACAAGGCTAAAGACAACGAAACAAAATTGAAGATATTTTTGAGTACTTTAAAGTGCGTTCTTTCTCCTTATGCAGTTCACAGTTTCTTCAAATCTAAGTGAGCACTGAAAAATCTGACATTCCAAAATTCACCTCAAGGTGACCAAAATCTCTATTGTTCGGCAGGTGAATTTATGAAGAAAGTTTTAAGATAACTTTCGCAGCTGAATCTGGCACAGGCATCATTTCTGATCAAAATAATAGCCCGAAGATTTTTCTATCAGATTAGGTGCGTATCGGCCTTTCATAAGAAAAGTTCATAATAGAGCTTCTGGAAAATCTGCCCGCTGAAAAACCAAGTCCTTAGTTTTTAGTGAGAAAATTTTGCAAACCATATAGCCTGATAGAGCGAAAAATTCTGAGCAAAATAGGACTTCTCCTGGCATTCTATAGTGCTTTTTCACGCAACTGCAGTCGATTTACCGCTAGCCGCAAGGGGCGTGAAAGATACCAAAATATTCCGGTGAAAAAGCACTATAGAATGCCAGGAGAAGTCCTATTTTGCTCAGAATTTTTCGCTCTATCAGGCTATATGGTTTGCAAAATTTTCTCACTAAAAACTAAGGACTTGGTTTTTTAGCGGGCAGATTTTTCAGACGCTCTATTATGAACTTTTCTTATGAAAGGCCGATATGCACCTAATCTGATAGAAAAATCTTCGGGCTATTCGAAACATTATTCGTATTGGTTCCAGGTTTTGCTAAAAGGTCAAAAACAAGGGAGTTCTTGTGATTATGACACACTGTAGTGCTTAGATAATACCCAAAAGCTTCTTTTCCATATTTTTAACGGCTGCCCCGACCTGTCTGGCTCACTTTATAGAGAATTTCAAGGGCTATCCAGTGGTATGTTTTCGAACAATACATAATTTTCATTATGGCAGAAAAACGACTAACGGAGTGTTGAAAGCACTAGGATACGTCAAAATCATTATATCGGCCAAGTGTTTCAACTGTTGACCCATGTGGGCATATTTCTCAAAGATTTATTTATAGCTCATTTTGAAGCTCGTGAAATTCTCTATTGCATGGTATATTTATCGTAGTGCCTAGTTGAGAAACGTTGATCATAGGATCCTCATCGTGGAATAAGCCACCCAGTTTTCACGGCTTTACAGAAAGTATTTCTGATGTCAAGGGTCATAGGACACTTTTGTCACTATCATATATGTATGAACTTGTAGCGCGAGAAATTCTCTATCGATTGATATATCTATCGTAGTAGCTAGATGATAACGTAGATTATCTTAGAGACTGTTTGCACATAGGAGATTATTTTCCATAGACGGAAGTATTTCTAAACTTACTTGGCCTCAGAACGACTATTTCCGTATATGTGATATACAGAAATATAGCGCAGAAAAAGAGCTTTCGAATGACATATGATAGTTCTATTGAGATATGAGATCGAGAGAGACACACTCGAGAATATGATCAATAATACGTGTCAGAAGTGATTACAGTTAATTGGACCCAATTTTTTCTGAGAGCATTTCTAAGGTCTGTCGAGTGGCTAAAAATGTTCTCCTGTTCATTCTGCATCTAATTATGTATGTGTCGATGGAACTGAAGCAGGGGCCGATTCCATCAAATAATCGCCCCCGTCCTTTGTAGTTATATCGAAATATTGATGATATTAATGACTTGCTTGAACTCATCCGTGGAACTTCCGTACTGTATATGGACTTTTATTTTTGTGAACAACATGTATTATGGCAGATATTTGCTCATCGATGCTTGATGAACGCAACCCAACCACTTGTTCGAGGAGTATTTCGAGTATTCGATGGGCTCTCGCCGAGCTTGATCCCTGAAAAAACGAGACTTCGGACCCTCGATATAAGCGTTCGAGGAGTTATCGATTTCGAGCCCTTGGATTTCATATAGTTAGCAAGCCGTCGAACAGAGATGCACGGGACGTCCGAGTTCTCGCCTGAGGATGCGACGACGGCTCGGAATTTTTCTCGAGGACTTACCGTCTATCTGAAATCCGAGGACTCGGAACCGATAACCCTTCAAACGCTTATATCGAGGGTCTAAAGTCTCATTTTTCGAGATGTCGAGTCCTTGGCGAGGACCAATTTTCGGGACGCCCTTCTCAAACGACTTTTCTGGTCTCCATGGGTTAAGTTTCGAGAAATATTTATTGTATTTTAATTTTATAGAGAATTCTCAGGTACTCATATACCAATAAAAAGTTCCTTACTTCTTAGAAGGATAAGTCTGAGATGGTTTAATGAGAAAAAAAAATTGAAATACATCTGATATTTCGAGTGATCAAAATTTAAAAGTTTAAAAGAAAAAAGGGTTGTTACTAATCAAAACATAGAAGAATATGTTAGGTTTAAAATGATTGTCATGTTTTCACACAAAACGTGCATATCAACTTTTATAATACTTGTTGAAAGAAATAATAGATGATTAATAGTACAGTCAGAGCTGATGACGATTTTGTTGTTGAATTTGTTGACGGGTTGTTGATATTTAATTTCAGACGGCATTTATCTGTCTGAAAACGCTTTTTAGATGCGTCATATCTCATTTTACTATAATCAAGTGTTGTATTACAATCATGAGGACTAAATAACAGAGAGAGAGAAAGAAAGACAAAGATATTGAAAATAAACTTTTCTTCGTTGCTCTGTGAACATTAGCATTTATATTCTTGTCAACTATAACCTATAATGATGGTAGTTTACTTTAAAAAATCCATTTCTAGCACTACAAAAAACTTTTGTTATTGGTTGTGCTATTTTAACATTGTTATCATCAATAAATGTTTTGAGAATAGCTTTCATCTGCTCTTCCACCTAAAAAAAAGACAATAAAACTAATAATAGTGCAATTATTAACACAAGCGTTGTTTCTTACACCATTGTCAGCTAAATCAACTCGTGGATTTGTCTCAGTTGCTTCGCTTAAAAGACTATTGTATGGTGTTTCTGGTGTACAACCTCCCATTCTAAAACATGGAAAAAAATGTTTTTTTAAACAAGATTATAAATAGACATAGTAGATTAGTATAATTCGAATAAATCATGAATGTTCGACAAAATCATTAAACTAATTAATGATAATACCTTTTTCCTCTATTTTTTGCATGAATCAATAGATAAGACTCTGATCTATGTGTATTATATGGCGTTTCTCTGATTGAAAATGTGTGTTATCTACAAAAAAAAATAGGGCAAAAATTTGAAAATCAGATTCGAATTATCCCATCCTACTCTAAGTCAATACTTATTTTCTTTTACGAATAAATTGTAGTCTAGTTATGTTTATCGATGATCTCTATCTACTTTAGTATTTAAAATAGACATAAATTTAAATATAAAATTAAAACTTTAACTTCAACAAAAATCATTTACTTACGGATTAGCTAAATAATACGGTTTTATTAAAAATAAAAATATCAAAATAATATTGAAAATCATTTTGATATACGTCAAACCAAACTAAAATTTCTAAATTCATTAATAATATTTTACCTTTCTCACCGTTGCTAGGTATTGAAAATCGATTTTTAAAAGGAAACATATGATAAAATACGTCTGGTATCGTAATAGTGTATACTTCGATTCATTTTGATAGATAAAAATAAGATTGTATACAGTGTAAAACTGAAACAGCTGTTTTTAAAGACTATAGTAAAAGATAATTTAAACATATGACACATCTTTCGTAAACTACTAAAATAGCCTTCAATGGAAGGATCCTTTAAAATGAGGCTCGGATGGATACAGTTATAGAGAACATGCTTTGTTTTTATTGTAAAGCTGAAAATAATAGAGAAAAATATTAAATATTTGCATATTGTTTGTACCCATTTACTGTAATAAAGTATTCGATCATATTCAAATTTTCATTAGAAAATATTTCTCATGGCTAAGTAAGTAGTGAATGTTGATCTTATAATAGATAAAAAGGTGAGAATTGTAGAATTTCATACATAAATCCTTTATTGTCAAATTCTACCCGAAGTTATCGTGAAAAAAGATAGTTTATATCATGGACTGGTATGTTTCTTGTTAATCTTTGATTTTTTTCCTCCTCATATCTGACAACTGAATCGTACTAAACAAAAAAAAATTATACGTCTCTGTCATAGATATTTGCGATGATATGAAAAACCTCTAAAGATCATAGTCCATCAATCATTTATTTTGCAAGTGTTTTCTTGCGGACTAGATCAACTACATGGATTAAAGCTATTTATTTCTGATAACTAACTTTTTTTCCTATATTATATACACAGAAATATATAGACAGAATAAAAAGAAGGCCATGATATCAGTAACAAATTAGATAATTGTATTATTATTTAGTCTATAAACAACAGCATCGTTCCTTATTTCCAGTTTTTTTACCTAGTATACAGGGGAAATAATATGCTATTTTATGGGAATATAATTTTTGGAAATTATTTCATTCAAACTTTCCCATTCTCTTTTTTTTCCCAATCGTTATAATGAATAATTATTGCATGAATTACTGATCTTTGCTATGCTTCAATGACGAATGGGAAAATAAATTCCAGAAAAAAACAGATATCACTTTTTGATCGTGCTTTGACGACATGATATAATTACATTTTCAAAAAGATAGATAGAGTGTTGTTGACTTCTTTTCTTTGTTGATTTTTCCACCTGCATATTTTTTTAAGTACATGTATAAGATCATTTGCCATTTGCCATCATTGAAACGGTGTCCTGTCAGTTAATTATTATAAAGTATATGTGTGTGTGATATATAAACAAACCTTTTCAGACAACCAGAAAAGAAAGTATAATTACAATTTGTCCTAGTTGAAATAAATAAGACAATGGAGCAATGAAAGACGAAAAAAAGAATTACTGTATCACTTTTAGTATCAGACGTAAGAAAAGAGAAATATTTTCAATAATACCTCTATTATCTGTATCTAAGTAGAGCACATACTGGGACACCTTTCTCTTGTTTTTGCCTCCATTAAGATAGATGGACATATATATATTCTACATGATGCAATTTATTATATTTTTCCCAGAATTTGCGACTAACTTAAAGTTCTGGTGTCTATATGTTTGCTAATAAATTTGTGACAAAAAGGAGTGTACTTTTCTCCAATGTTTCCACTGTGTAGAAAAAACAGACATTGATTATGTTTAATTCAAATTAAGGAATTAAATCGGTTTTTTGACGACATTCTATTTTAATTGTCTAATAATATTTCATCATTATCATGTTTTATGTATGTTTTTTTTTCGATGGTATTCTGATCATCGTACAAAGAGGGAAAATTGTTTTCTATATAAGGTTAAACGTGTAGGCTAATGAGATTATGATGAATGTGTCAACTTCTAATATTTCACTTCACAGAAATCTTTTGGTGGAATATTAGGAAGAAGAAATATGTACTGTTTCTTATCTGTTTGGTAAATGTCATCGATGTCGAACCAGAATTTATACTAGAAAGCTGACAAAAAATTTTCAATTATGGACTTTCACAATGACAACTAGACAGAAAGAGAGAGAGAAAAACCAGTTTTCTTCATCTTCTAGAAGATATAGTACCTGTCGTCCGTTGTTGTTCAGAAAATAATGTCATGTATCTTTAATATTGTGCAATTTATGGTTAGATATAAATGTTAGGAATGCCATTATCCTAACATATTTCGTTCCGCTATTGAAGATAATTTTTAGGCATATAGAATAGTATTTTCTTTGATTTTTCTTTTTTGTTAAGGGCTAGGAGAGAGGTTGTCTTTGTTATACACAAAAAAAATTAAAAATAAGTGCAGATAAATACTAGCAAAAACCACACGAAGAAAAAAAGTTGTTTATACATGTATTTTATATCAAAAATGTGGTTAAATATAGCGATATCTTAAAAAACTTTCTGATTTGTTCCTTGGTTCTATTTTTCGTTTTTTTTTCTTCTCTAATAACAAGTCGAAAAAAAGAAAAAAAAAAGAGACCACAAATCAAACGTATAATAGAGACATATTCTACTTTTTTTTCTTTAATTCTTCTATGAAGAAACCATTAGAGAAGATTTAATGCTAAATAATAGATATATTTAGCTGAAATAGTGTAAAAAAAGGTAAGACAATCACACCTATATTACAACTAAAAGGCGAATGTAAAGTGTCTAAAACAAAGTGACATCAAAATCTATTGATTCGATAATTAATACTAATGATTCAAGTCAGAAGTAATTGATTCTGAACTACGTTAATTATGTAAGAAACTAATGAAGAATGTTTGCTTGAATGTAAATATTATGTTATTGTCATATCATAGTTAGTGTGATACATAGTTCTTTATTTTCACAATATGATATTTTTTTCGGTTATTTAACATATTATTAGTATTACTATTCCAAGACTATTTTCTAATACGTACCGGAACGTAAGCTACTGTGTCCAGTTATTGCTGCTTTCTACACCTTATGTATATGATAGATTTTGTTTGTAAAAACTGACTAATTAGATTCGTTAGATAGATGTTGTAAAACTATTCAATTCATCTAGTACTGAATATAATGTACCTTCAAGAGTCATTCATTAAAAGGTTCTAAAAGTTAAGGTAATTCCAGGCGAACATTTTATTTTCTCAAACAATAGTTAGTCTAATGTTTTAGCGTGATGTTGATACAGGACGGTTTTATAAGAATACATTCAAAAAATTACTCTTTGCACACAGCTGGTCTTATTTCTTACGATTCATTGTTATCATTACTTTTCAAATGTGTAATTTTTTAAGTATAAGAAACTATAGACGATTTTATATTGTATATTTAGAAAACTTTTTATTTCAAATTTCGTAAATTACACATTCGATTCACAACTTGACTGCATTCTAGTTTACTTTGAAGTCAACTAGTTAAGTGTGACATCTGATTATGCTAAAAAAATAGTTCTAATCATATTTTTTTACTTTGCGCTTGATTGACGATCCGTGTTTTATTATTTTCTATTTTCTCTCAATATTTTATGTTGCGGTTACATTCAAAGTAATATTGAATTTGCATGTGTGAATAGAATATATACGTACCATATATCATCAATATTGCCGTACTGATGATATATCGTAAAAAAGTTTTTTTTTAAATTATACCACGTGATGTTAATCTTTAAGCTTATTGTGTGAGTTTAATATGTTCTGTCATTTCTCCTTCTGTTCTTGTCAATCCTTAATAAAAAGTAATTAGAACGGTAATCAACCTTAAAACCAATACCGAAAAGCAAGTATTTAAAAAAAGAATATAGCTTAGATAACCTTCTTAAGTCCATAACGATTTTGGAATATTTTGCAAAATCCGTTGAATTTACGAATCATTTTGAGGAATCTTTTTTGTGTTATCAAAATAGCCAAAAAATGTATAATATATCTACTAAACTCAAAAAGATTTTCTTGATTGCATCTTCCTCTTAAAAACGGTTTATTAGACATGAAATACCCTTGTTTTGGTTTCATGTAACACAGAAAAAAGTTTCTCAAAATGGTTTGAAACACACAACGTATTTTCAAAATGGATTTTCAATACTTTATTAAGGTTTTCTAAAATATTCTCTTTTAAAAGGTAATATGAATACTTTGGTTCCAATGTTCCAGTCTAGATCATACAACTACTTTTCAGAACTCTGAGCTTTTTGTTTCATCCCACTACTTCATCCTTGACGAGAGGAGCTCTCTCTCTCTCTCTCTAATATTTTCTTTAGTTCTCTCCTCCTACCGTTCAACTGTAACGAGAGCTTGGTTGTAATTAATAGATCGAAGAGATATAAAAAGATCAACTCTGCTCGACATCACCCATTACACTAGGAATTTTGCATAGTCTTCATACTGTCTAAGGAGTATGATGACATCCTTCTAATAATTACAAACACTTGAAATCTTGAAAATTTTTCTATTTTATAGTACTTAAAATTTATCGAATTGATTTTCATACATAAATATAGTTGCATCTTCTCCACAATACTTTCTGTTCGATTGTCTTCAACGTTCTTACTTTTCTCATTCTTTTAAAACCGCAAAAAAAGGATTTGACCATAGATTTCGAGTATGATGATAGCGTTTTCGTTCTTTTTCTTTTGGTTTTTAAATAAAAACAATTTCAGTTTATTATACTTTTATATTCATTACTATTTCTTCTTTTTTCCTCTATTCTCTTTTTTCTTTCATTCGCACCTGCGGTAGACATACAAATGAATGTAATGAAAATAACAATAGTAAGCTTCTGTTTATACCGCAATCGCCGACGAAACATCACTAAAACGAATATATAAACTGACTTTATATAGTGAGCAGTCAAAGTAGAAAATTTCTTTCCAGTAAAGTATGCAAGTGTATATTAACGCCGTATAGTTTGATTCCCGAACAGATATCATAGATCTTTTGATTTTGGCACCTTTGGGCCTCGTTTCTGCTGTTTTTTGTTCTGAGAATGAATTTTAAGTTTTGAGTCCGATATCTCTGTTTCCGAATAGTTTTTTCGAGGGAATATTCAATTCTTGGGTTTCTCTGTAGCTATATAAAGTTCAACTCGCGTTGTCCAACATAAAATTATGAAATATTATTAGTAACAAAGTTCAGCAGCTCTCATTACTAATACTAATACTAATTGATTACACATACTTTTAAATATTACCTATTATTTTGTTAAATTTAACATATTAGAACTGATAATATACGTAGTCAAAAAGTGAGAAACAGCCAATTTGTTTGAAGGAATTGTTGATATTGTTATTACAGTTAACATATTGAATGAATAGGATTAACTTGTTTTAATTATACAGACTTTTTGGAGAAAGTCTGCTAGGCTTCTCTTTAATCGCAGCTGCTTCGCCATCATGCTATTTCTCATACTGGTTGTTTTGTTTTTATCTATTTCAGTACGACTAACGTCTGACCTTTAAACGTGTACACTCACAATGAAACTATTCATTGTTGTTGTTGTTTTACTATTTATAACTGTTGTTAACGCCCTCTATTCTGAATGGGAAGAAATTCGACCTTATTGCGGTGCTCGAAGTCAACCACAGTGTTGTACCAGTCGAAATGACAATTGTTTTATGCCCTATTATGATTCACGATGTTATTGTGATACGTTCTGCTTTCGTGCACATGATAATCATGATTGTTGTCCCGATCACGATGCCATCTGTGAAGGCAAAAATGTTACAGAACCTGTTCGACCACCGCCGCAACAGACTGGTACATGTATTGATCAAGAGACGAACAGAATATATGAGGTTGGTGGATCGATAAAACGCGACTGTAATTTATGTCGATGTACGACACTCGGTTATCGAGCAGATTGGTCATGTGAAGAAGATTTATGCGTGAATAGTCCTGAATTACTTCAGCATGTTAAACAACAACAACCGTATACTGGATGGGATGGAACACATTACGATAAATTTAATGGGGTGAAGGTGAGAGATGCACTGAAATATTATCTTGGTACAATACCAGATCCATCGCTGAGATCAATGGTCGAAAAAGCACCAGATGATCCAGCAGATTATTATCGTATGGATGATGAAAAGAGTTTCGATACCAGAACAAATGCTAAATATCAAAATAAAATCCGTGGTATTCGCGATCAAGGCAAATGTGGTATATCATGGGCATTATCAACAGTGGATGTGGCATCCGATCGTTTATCACTTGTTGAAACTATTCATTGGACACGTGAACCATTAAGTGTACAAAATGTTTTATCATGTACTGATCCAGAGGCAAAAGATGGATGCGAAGGCGGTCGTGTGGCATTTGCATGGGGTTTTATTAAAGATAAAGGTGTTATCACAGATAATTGTTATCCGTATGAAAGTGGAACAACGGGAAATATCTCCGAGTGTCGATTCCGTTTGACTGATGACAATATTTTAAATATTCAACAACATCGAAAATTAACAAACATACAGTGTCCATCAGGTGCTACAAATGGACAACATTATAACTTTGGCCCTGCCTATCGCGTACGAAATGAACCACGTTCAGTTAAGTATGAAATATATTTCCGTGGTCCCGTTCAAGCAACCATGTTGGTTACACCCGACTTCTTCTTATATAAAAATGGTATTTATAAATGTCAAAATAATTACGATCGACAAAATCCAAGATATGCTAATTTGAATGCTCATCATTCGATACGTCTATTAGGTTGGGGAACCGCAAAAGATCCACGAACACAACAAGATGAATCCTATTGGATAGCTGCTAATTCATGGGGTGAAGGATGGGGACAAAACGGATATTTCCATATTCGATTTGGTGATTGTCAAGTTGAAGAAACAGTCATTGCAACATATGGTAAGAGTACAGAAGTATTAAAACAAAAACAAAAACGACAAAAACGCAGTGACGAACAAGATAATACTATCGAATTTTTGTCATCGTAATTTGACTTCATTTTTTTTTCTGCTCATTAATACTCAAGATGGACTCCTCTGACAATAAACAAACGTCAGTTAAGGATGCGGATCGGAACCGAACTAAATCTCTTTATCATCTTCTTCTCCTCTCTCAACCAATCTTACCAGCAACACATTTAGTTTTTTATCTAGATCTAGTTTATCACGTTCCTGACGGCTAAGATTATGAACAGTCATTTGTATTTTTAATATATATATATTTTTTTCTTTTTCTGTGTGATTTTTGTTTTGTTTTTTCGTGTGTGTGTGTGTGTGTGTGTGTGTGTGGTTTTTCTTGGATTATGCATTAATTTATTCTTTGGTTTGTTTTTTTTTATAAAAAAAAAGAAGAAAAAAGAATTTGAACTTTCAAGACACACGAATGCGGAAAACAGTTCTAAAAACAGGTGCTTAAAACAGCATGCAATATAGAGAATATATTTGATAATATAGAATTTATTTAATAATTGACAGGTAGATGAATATGATTTCCATATAAAAATTATATATTTATTCACTTGATAAATGTGTGTATGGATGTACAGCCTTGATTAGAATATGGAAGTTTTCAATAAACGAGGTGTGACTATAACGTCAATCACTCAATCGGTTTCACATATACAAAAAGATAAACAGGTGATGGTGGTTGGGTTGAATATGTACAATAATCACAAAATAGAAAGAAAAAGAGAGAAAAAAAAATCGGATAAAAATCGTCACATTTATTCTTATGCTCTATGGTATAAACGCCAAGATATAAACGCCTTTTAAGAACAAGTTACCAGTATAGTTGAGGAAGTGCACAAAATTTGAGCAAGGAAAACCACCTTGACCTTAATCATTCAGCCGAGTGAAGTAGCACTACTTAATTTCCTTATTAATTATTATAAAACTGTGTTCCAGTTTGACGGTTGTCTATATTTAACTGTTCATCGATTGCTAATATTTGTTTACATTTACAGCGGGATATAGGTCTTTATGCTGCGTCAAAGGCTAAAACGTTTATCAGAAAACATTCTAGCTTACATCATCTTTACAAATAATAATTGAATTACGTAAATTATCCACAAACTGAGGTTAGTAAGCAGAAGATTGATAATATAATCCAGTCAAAATTACTATCCTGTAAATATACTTGTTGTATTCGAATATCATTTTCAATCATATTCCTTTGTTTTTTGGAAAAACATAAAAAAATTAATATCGCGACACTACAATCCTTATAAAAAGGAAAGTAACTCTTTTACATGAAGGAGCAGTGCGTTTGGCTTGCTATTATGAAGATTTGACATTGATAATCTCTTCGAAATATAAAATAAGGTATATCTAGAGAGAAAGATTTCTCTAATGTGATCGTCTTTGCATAATGAGTCCTTATGACTTACTCCTGAAGATGGTCACTTTAGAATTGATTTCTATATAAGTTCGTCTATATTATCATACAGACAGTTAGTAGATTGTCTTTTTATTTCATGATGTTTTGAGTGGGCGCAACGAAATGCGTTTAAAGAAATTCATTTTATCCAAGTGCCGTATATTCTTGGGATGAAAACAGAATAATATTTTTTTGGAATGTCATTAACATCATAACATATTGACGGCACATATCAATATTATTATCAGTAGATAACTTGTAAATATTCATGTTTATATACATAATATACTTTCGAGATCAATCTAATAATGTCAAAAGAAAAATTACTGTCGTATATATATTGTTTATTATTATTAATCATTCATTTTTGTCTATTAATAAGATTTCCCGAAAACGTGCCGGGAAGAAAGTATCGACCTTCTTTTATTGTTGTTACAACCTTGTCTTGCTAATATTGGACATTTCTGATACATATCAAAGTTTTGTTAATGCTTGAGAGATGAATAAGAAAGCATGATTAGAAAGAGGATTAAACATTTTAATATCAATGATAGACATCAGATGTTTTAGTAAGATGTAGTTTGATATTACAAACAGAATACTTTGAAGCAACTTATCAAGATCTCTTCTATTACTAGTAAATCTGTAATACCTTTTTCAAAGTGCATCGCGTATTAAATTATATCTGTATAAAACGAATTGTGAAAAATGGTTTGATAGGTTACAAAACAAATATCAAAACCTATTTAGTTTGGTTTAAGCTTTAATCTTGAAACAGAACGAAATTGAGAATATAAATTTTCATTATATCATTCTGAAACTTAAACTATCAAAATATAAAATCAATCCTTACACAAAGCTAGAATCGAACGCACGCAACCTTTCTTCTGGCTGAGGCACTTCCAGGTGAGAAAATCTGAGCACAAAACTAGATCTATTTCGAAAAGTTATATCAACAGCGAATGCATAACAGATTAGAATTATAAGTTTTTATTCGTTCCTTAAATATAAAGACATATACACACAATGAATTACTAGCTCTTGCGCTATGTCGAAAAAAATCTAGTAAACCAAAGCAAACATTGAGAACGTGACTAGTATAATCATACTTCAGAAAAAACTTCTTTTTTTTTTGTACTTTGTATTAAATACAAGAAAACATCAACAAGGTTATATTTCTCTTTCTTTCCCAATCTATATAAACGTAAAAAAATATTAAAATCGAATAATATGACATTTGAAATAACTGATTATTATCGAACTAAACAAGCTGTTAAAGAGAGAGAAAGAATAGCAATTTCAATTGAGACTCTATTATGGCATATTAATGTGCTAATGAAATTTTTTCTCTATTAGTGGCCCCAGAAATAACATGGTGATGTTTTAATCCTAAACCGCAAGGTAGAATAGTACAATTTCAAATAGATTTTTGAATAAACAATAAATACCCTTGAAAAATAGTACTTTGTGGTTTTTTTCAATAAATTTACTAATTGATCAGACGTCAGTTTTTCTATACTGAATAACGACCTTGAATGATTTCTTACACCCAAGTTATACACTAGAGTATGTTTGTTTTTGCATCAAAAGATATAACTTTGTACTAGGCATACATAATAGGTGAAAAATTGTCCAAAACTTAATGGCTTTTTATTATAATCTCAATTACTAGACCAATGCTCAAGTTTAGATAGTGAATTAAGTACGATGCTTATGATCTGACCACCCTCTCTCATTCCTTATCTTATTTAACAAGACAAGAAATGAGAGATTCTGTAATAGAGAATCATAACGAGTGATCGAATACAGCCAGAATCTTTACTAGAGCATCTTCTTGAGGGAATCGTTTCAAGTGATTCACCTAGATTTAATCAAAACATACTTTTTCATAGATTATTTTTGATGCTGATTACGAATCTGATATTCATTTCGGTGGAGATCCACACTAGAAAGTCATATGGGTCGCATTGAATATCAGATTCGTAATCAGCATCAAAAATAATCTATGAAAAAGTATGTTTTGATTAAATCTAGGTGAATCACTTGGAACGGTTCCCTAACATGCAAAACACATTTTTGTTCTGTGATGTTACTCTGAAAACACGTGCTGTTTACCCTCGTCTCGTTTCATCTTCTTGATATTACTTGAGTCACTCTCCGTCTATATTAGACGTCGCTCTCGTTCTCTCATGTCTTCTCTGTATAACTCATCAAAGAGTTACAAGCTTTGGTCACTGATCAAAGATAGAAGCTGTATGGATTGAGCAGTGGGGATAAAACACACCGTAGCACTGCACAGGATGGACACGAGAACATCTCAGAGTTTTCTTTTGGACAATTTAGCCCATAAGTAAATTCTTTGCATTTGACTTCGAAAGTTCAACTGTTCGATTTCATCACTTTGCAGTGTTCTTTTGTGCTTTACTTATCTCTGTCACTTATCTACTCATTCTCACAAATAAAATGAATATATTTTTGCCCAGGACTTAGAACTCACTTTTATGTGTGGTTTTCCAAAGAGACAGATTTTACATTGTGCACCGTACCAGTCCTATGGACCTTTGCCTGCTCTCATTTTTACCACAGATGCTAGACTCCGATACACTCAGATGTTTTGCAATTCAGCTCTCCGACATAGACGTCGAGAATTTATGAGAAAATGTCGGGACGAAAGAGAGTTGGGTTTTGAGACTTCAACAGTGTAGTCGCTCTCGGTATGAAGAAAAGATCCTGCAGAGCTAAATCCTGGGTGTATGAGTGTCGAGTATGTGTGGTAAAAATTCAAGCTCGAATGAACAAAGTTCTATCGCGGTCAGTACTTTATGTAACGTGGTCGAGTCGCGATTTGAACCAAGCATGTACAAGATAGCTTTGTATTTCTCTTTGTAAAATGCTGATAACTTTTTGAGGAAACATCGCGGAGAGCTGAGAGATATCTTATTCTGAAGAAACCCTTTAGTCTACAAGACTGGCTCATAGATGAAAATTAATTTCCAGAAAAGAAAATGACGCTTTTAGTTTAAAATTCGAGTTTTTTCAGCATATAGTGTCAGACACTAGAAAATGCCAATTTCCTTTCAAAGAAAGATCGTGGAGTGCAGGGAGCAATTGCATTCTTAACCATAACACGGCCGTTTCGGCTTATCAAGAAAACGATCAAAAAGCGTTTTCCTAATATCGTACCAGTAATTAATCTGTTCTAATATTTTTATGTAAATTATTCGGGAATCTGGCTACACGAAATTCTTTTTTCTTATATTATACATTCTCATCTTCCCGAATTTCAAACAAAGTTCATCATCCTAAGAGCACTCATCCGTGCACGCAGAGGTGGGTATGCGCAGGGCATGAGAGCGAGCCACTACATAATATACCTAGATTACATCTTTCGGTATGTACTAATCGAATAATCGAGAAACCGTTGTACGACTTGACGATCGAACTGAACGTTGGATCACAGAATTAATTTGGCATTAGCGCTAACTTAAATTTGTATGTGGCAGCAGTTAGCGCTGCGAAATGTAAACTTTTTCCAGCATATTTGCTGACCGGCTTCTGAAGAAAACATTAAGGTCCTCCCGGTTAGAACTGACGATTTTCGCCAAAAATATCAATTTTGCTAAAAGTGCATGAAGATATAGTTACAAGTGTCCTCCTTTGTATACATTACACTACTATACGTTTCAAACAAGAATGCTCTTGACTATTTTTCGAATAAGTTTTGATAGAAAGTAGGTAAAGAGATGCGGTTTTCGCTGTTCGAGAGCGAACACTTAAGACAGCTTGAGAAATAAAAATCGGACCAGGTCTACCACCTGCAGGTGGTAAGCCATTCACATCTTTGAAAGACAAGGTTGGAAAAGAACGAAAATATACAAAACCCTAGCGAACTTATTTTTTTCTGTTTTCCCGTTCCCAATGGGGAGCGATTCTCCTGGACGACCCTAACTCACGCTTTTTTCACTTGTAATATCGAACGAACACTTTCCAAACAGGTTTTCGACTATGTTGATTCATGTGGCAATGTTTGTTTTTACTTTGAAACGATTGTTGATCTGGAAACAGCACTGATTACAGTCCGAACCGAGAATTTATTCATAACATAACGAAAATTAACAATGAAGTACCTGTAGAAAATAAAAAACAAGAGATAAAAATCTAGTCTTTCCCCGAAATCTTCTCGTCTTCTTGAAAATCGTCATCATCTTCATCCACTAAATCTTCTTCTAATTTTTCAGCATAGTTATTTTCACGCACCTGTTTAGGCTGAAACAGATGTGTGTCACTTTGGACGTCAGTCAAAAGGCGATAACGGAGAAAAAAGCGTGAGTTAGGGTCGTCCGGGAGAATCGCTCCCCATCGGGAACGGGAGAACAGAAAAAAATAAGCTCGCTAGGGTTTTGTAGAAGAAGGTTTGCTGGTTCGAATCTATAAAAGAACGGGAAAAAATCTTTTATTTTCGTTCTTTTCCAACCTTGTCTTTCAAAGATGTGAATGGCTTACCACCATTACGTTTGGTGGTAAGCCTTATGAGAAATTATGTTTTATCGCAAAGCCATAAAATCCTCATAGAGCCAAAAACGCTATTTTCTACTTAATCTATAGAAAGAAAAAAATTCTATTTTTTCGCTATTTACTCGCTATTTTTGACCGAAACTGATAAGTGTCACATACTATTCGATAGATCTTGGCGAGACCAGTCTGATGGTACATGTGCGGGAATTTGTGCGCGCATATGCACCAAATGATTTTATTTTCACGAAATCGTTGTATACGAGTAGTCTTATGGCTAGAAACCATTTTATTTAGCAAAATTAGCACAGGATAAGTTTGCTGGCTTGAAGTCCATGTAAATCCGGGAGAACCTGCGTGGAAATAACCAATTTTATTGTTACACTACATTTTTTAGTAATTTCGATTTTTCTCCTTAACTAAAAACTATTTCAAGCTGATTTTTTTCCAATTTATTTTTATCTACGAATACTACTTGCAATAAAAACTTGGTTCAAAAATGTAGACCCCGGACGAGGCTGCGGCTGAAGCAGTTTTGAAAACATTACACTACAAATTGTGAAAAAAACGACTTTCTTCAAGAAAGTTTCTCTCAATTTCCTAAAACGACAGCAAGTGGAAGTCAAATTTTTTTACCAGTCACGTTTCCCTCTTATCCTCTCTTTTTTGGCTATATTTCTGTTTCTTCAGCGCATCATCGCCCTGAGAAAAATCTCTTTTAATATTACACTACAAAAAAAAGCGAAAAGTGTGAGTCATCTCGGTGCTGTACTCAGCCGCAATAAGATAGGATATATATCGGCGAACCAATTACATATTCTAGTAACTATATATGTGTACTATTCAAAAACAAAAAAAAGATTACCCCACAATGTACATACGTGTGGCAAAAGTCACTTTTCTGACTGATAGAGGTAAAAACATGATAACCGTACAAAGTTGAGGCAACCAAAACGCGGTGACTGTGCGAAATAGAACCCCAATTTTTCACATAGTCGTAGTCCTAGATTAAAGAAACAGAATGAAAAAATATATATATAGTATATTTGATCATATAAGCAAAATATCGGTAGAATACCAATGGTACAATGGCCGTGTAATTCATTCATATATATCGTAAGCTTTATGGGGTAGAGCAGAAGTCTTGTGACTTGTGTTTAAAAATTTAGTATTTAGCAAATGGACATTAGGTAAAAAAAATGAAAATCGACTTTTCGACGATTCAAATAGTTAGCAATATACTTCAAGACATGCTCTATCCGGTGGCACAAAAATTTTTATTACGAAGTTTCCGTTGCGTGAGAAAATAGCTAATCAAAAATAAGCCTGAAAATAGTAGTATCGACAAGAAAAGTAAAATTTCATAACAGTCATTGAAGTTATAACCGAAAACGACATATACTCTAGATATGCACGGTGTCAGCTACAGATTCGTAAAAAAAATTTTTAATTTGCATTTATAACAGCTGAGAAAATAAACGAAAGTTTTTTTCAAATGATTTTCCAAACAGCTACATTTAGTAAAGTGAACATGCGCAGGTTAACACAGCTCCAAAAACGCTCAAACTTTTACGAATATTCATCTAGATGTCCTCCATATGGTGAATGCATAAACATGCATAAATGCTCCCGGACCGTGTTTTCCAAAAAACCCTTCGTTTTTTACGTGTTTGCCATTTTGCTTAGTTCAGAAACATTATTTTCCCAACAAATACAACATATTTGGAATCAGCACATCGAACTGCATCGAATGATATGTCAGTTGTATGTTTGTATGTGCAAAAAATAATTCGATTGAATGGAAGGGCAGATTTACAGCATTCCCGTAGCAATTTTGGCTAAGCACTAGGATTTTTGATTTAGAAGCATTCTGACGAAAACCATTTTCATAGTATGCGCTCTTACCAATGGTGTGATTTACAAAGTTCAAAAACACTTTTAGTCGGGTTTTCCAGAGATCGGATCGCTAGAAAGCCTTGATAAAAACATCTTTGAACCTTGTAAATCACACCATTGGAAAGAGCGCATGCGAAAACCTAGGAAAATATCGTTTAGAGGCTTTCGTGTCACTTTTATCCACATGCCTAGTCAAAATTGCTCACTGTGCGTCCAACAAATTTCTCCGTAAAGAAAAGTCAGAATTGACTGATTTTCTTTAAATTGAAGCTAAGATACATTAGGACAACGTTGGTAGTTACACTAGTTTCTTCGCTTTTTTAAAAACTTTTATGGTGAAATCCTTCAGAAAATACAACAAAGAGAAAAGTCAAACATCCAGTGTGTTTTACATCGTTGATCCAATTTAATCTGATATTTTAGAATCAACTCGACCTCTCTAGTTGCTTTCCGAAAGGAGAAATCTGCCGAACGACAGATGTCAATTTTGATCCTTATATGGGTGGTACCAATTGAACGAAAGTAGGCAGAGCCTTCAAACCGAAAAATAACACTAAAATACCATTTATGATTAGGTCAAGGTATGAAAGTATAAATTATGTGAAAAAACATTGGAAAAAATAGTTTAATTATCTACTATAAAATAGTAGCACAATATAGTAAAAGTTTCCTAAAATTTTTGTTAAGATTCGATTTATTATTACAACGATAGATTTTTCCGACTCGTAGGCTTTAAAAAATGTCTGGTAGAAGTGACAGCACATAATGGAGTGGTTTCTTCCTTGATTTGTTGTGTTTATCCTGTTTTATTTTATTGAATAAACTGGTTTAAATCAAAAAAACTCCATTTTATACGAATATAAATCAGTGCAGACTTTTTCTGATTTTATTGAAACAGACGCTAAACTATCATAATCTTCATTATAATATTAAAGATCATTAAAATCATTTGTTCTTATATCATACAATTTGTAAAAAAATCACGTAATTTTGTAGAAACAAATTTCAGAAATTCTTTAATTCCTCGATTCCTATAGTGTGATGTATACATAATAAGAGATATCTGTAGATATATATTGTATCATTATATTATTGTTATGATGTTAAATTTCATTTAAATTTCTAGATACGTGTGTGCAAAATACGTTTTTCCAGTAAATAGAAACAATTCTAATGTCAATTTAACTGGACTTTAAACGTTAATCGATGTTACTGGCTAACAACTCGATTTCAAACAATGTGATATACATTTTCGTACTTTAGAAATATTCATAACTTACCACATGTAAAAAATGAAAAAGAGACACATTTGAATGATTTTGTACAGGAGTACAAACAATTAAAAACTGATGCATCAGCTATCACATATCCATTGAAAAACGATTTAGAAAAATCCTGTAGAGTTTAAGATATTCCCGAAAAAAAGTCTTTCTACTTCGTTTCGTTATTAAAGTTCTAAAAGACACTTATAACAATGATGGCTACATCCCTTCCCGAAACGGTGGTTACACATTCCTCCTTTCACCTCTATTATTTCTATAAAATATGCGTCGAGACGTATTCTGCAAAATGTGCCACGTTCGACCAATAACTTACAACAATGTTATCCATCTTATACTTGCTTATTTATTAATAAAATAAATTTTTTTACTGTCACATAAACTAAGAAGTACGAAAAATAGATTGATAAATATTAAAAATAATAAATATATATATTTTTTGAAAGAACGTCAAAAAAAAAACACAGAAACAATTGAGATATATATATAAAAATAATAATTACAGCATATACAAATGTATGCTTAAAACAGATCACCGTATTTTTTTATTTTATCTAGCTTAGTTATCATTCGTGCACTTTGGAAACTTAGTTAGTCATTATCAGGTCAAAGTGTGGAAGTATAAATTATGTGAAGAAAAAACCTTGGAAAAAACATTAATTTTAATCATCGAGTTGACATAGAGCAGCAACACCACGATTAATCCAATGACGCTGCGATTTATTGGATGGAAGTTCAATGAGAACCTAAAATAAGAGAAATAGATAATATAAAAAATAACCATAGAAGTGAATATTAATTTACGTACAACAAAATTGGTACTATGACCAGTTGTTGATAAAACACCCCGACGAGCACTTGTCTTATAAACAGGACAAGAATACGTTTGTACAACTTGAAAATTTTCGATATTGCCTGGTTTTAACCACATTGTAGGTAAAACATCAAATAAAACTTTTGGCAATGGCTCATCAAGTACACGAGTAGTTCTATTCCATCGTGCACCCTCCAAATATAGACCCTAAAATATTAAAAACGAATGTTTATCATTCAATTAGTTAAATATGAATAACTATTGTTACCTGAATGAATGCACCATCTTCAGGTTTGTGTTCTGTATTAGCATCATCATTTAAAACATCAAACTCAAAACCAAGTTTATCAATAGGTATAGTATATTTTCTTGCAAAATTTTGTAATACTCCTACAATATCATAGACAAAAACTCAATCAAATATCAATTATTCTTTAACACTATACTATACCAGTTAAAAATGATTGAGTAAAATAAAAACCAGATATCCAGAAAACATGGGGTGCTCCATTTTTAATCCATGTTTGAAGAAATTTTAATCTAAAATAAATAGTAATATTAAAAAAATAAAAATTATAAACTAAAAACAAAATCTTCTCTATTTACCTTGCAATTAAATCTGTTAAATAACTTCCGAGTGGTTTTAATGATGGATACGATTTCGATGCCCAGGCATTTGGTACTTTGCCAATAAGCATGCTATTGAACACTTCTTCTAATTGTGCACTCATCAACACAAGACCTTTAATGGCTTTACGTAAATCAATTAATGTTTTTCGAACTTCTGATGTTAAACGATTATAACGAATTATTTCTTGTCTCAAAACAGTGTTCATGGATTCATTGTACAATACCGGATATTTTTTCGATACCTATATAATTGAATTATATAAAATACATACAGAATATTTTCTATATTTTTATAGTCATCATTACCGCTTCTGTATCAAAATCAGCTGGTAATTTTTGTAAAATATCAGCCGCTAATTCATCAATAATTTGAGATGGTGATCTACCTTCACCACTCGATGTTTGTTTTGGTAATGTTAATAATATACCATCAAAAAGCTATAAAATAAATAAATTATAAATTATCTATTCAACTTTTCATCATTTATAGACATGCCGTTTGTGTTTCTTGATTGTCTTTTGTAATATCAGCATTATCATGAAAACCGTAAACTTCTGGCATTGGATTTAATGATAATGTTCGAATATAATCAATGTAGCTTTGATAATCACCATCTTCTGGAGCATAATATAAACCACTCTCAGAAAATCTAAATTATATTAAAATAATCAATTAGACTATTAAAAAATTGTTTTTCAAATTGAAAGAACTTGACTAAAAACTTATCAATGTTTATCATATATTTTTATTAATCAACTTAATATTTCCAATTTCTGTATGTTAATGAATTAAAATTTGTGTCATATAATGATCTATTATTTATTTTCTCATGAACCAAAAATTTTTGTCCTTAAAAATCTTCTTCAACTCTTTGAAAACTATTTCCAAACGATGAATTTTTAGAAGAGCAGGCAAAATGAGAAAGTGTTATATTAAATAATTTTATTATTTATTTGTTCGTTAGATTGGATAAAAATAAAGTCATCTGATTCGCTTGATTCAATACACATCTTGATTTATTAGAATTATTGTTAAAACAAGCTTACGCAGGAAAAAAACAGGAGAAAAAAAAAATTTATTAGTTGATAATTCGCGTATAGAACGTAGATAACCGTTGTTGTTCTCATACAATGATCAATTCAGGAACAATCCTAAAACGTTATTTTTTTTTTTAACCGACTTGAGCCCAAGATGGACGTTTGGCAATAACAATTGAACTTCGTTTTCCTACTGTAGCCCATGATGGTCGTTTAAAACGTTTACGTGCGTTTAATAATGCTGCTATACTTTTTGTTGAACGTATAAATGGATAATAGGAAACATCTTGATGTTGTTCTAATGATTGTTGATCAGATGGATAATCTTCGCCAAATAATGATGCTAAACGATTTTGTTGCTCATTTGAACCGGTATTTTCAACCGCAATACTATCATCTTCACTATTATCAGTAGTTGTTGCCGTGTTCGAAGATGGGAGAGGCGTTTGTTGACCATCTTGTTCGTGTAATACTAATGCACACGGACAGGATGAAGCCAATGTATTTAATAAACAGAATGATAAAAGTATTGAACATATAATCATCAGGGATAGAGAAGATGATGATGATGATGATGATAATGATGGTGATAATGGAGAATAGGTCATTATTTTAGATGATATAAGTTTTAAACAATTAACCAGGTTTCAAACAAGTGTATGAGAAAAGAGTAAATATAAAAAAGGGAAAAGATACTTTCTTTCTGAAAATGTTATGTCTGTTTTATATGGAACGTATCGTCATTGATTTTGTTTTTCTCGTTCTCTCTCTCTCTCTCTCTCTCTCTCTCCCACAATCTTGAATAATATTTCATTATCAAATCTATTACATTTTTTAATATTCCTTGAATCATTATTCGATTTCTTTTCATTATCACAAGTTATTGAAACAATTACTAAAATGACTATTGTTCAGTGCATGTAATAAGAAAAATGAGAAATAACACAAGAGTTATGTTAATTATAATTACAAGAAAAAAGAAAACTAGTTAGGACTTTGAGAAATAACATGTGTTTATACGGTTTTTGTCACCCTTGTTATATGACATAACAGGTTTAAATAAATTTTACTAAGAAACAGAGATTGTTTTATTATCATTCTATGAAAAATGAGAGAAAAAAGCAACGTTTAAAACGTGATGTACTAATGATGTATGTTCGAGTAAACTAGGGGTGACAGTAGGCGTAGGAAGGAACAATGAAAAGTCATCAAGTTATTCTCTTTCAGGATGAAGTAAGAGTCGTATCAGAAGAACCAGAGAAGTTATAACTGATTTTTCGTTGTCTGAAAAATATTTCAATTAGTTCTAATCTATCATGATGAAAACACCAAATGATCAAAGGCATAAGTATTAGGGGTGTGACAGTTCAAGCTCGTGAACTGTGAGTAAATGTAGTAAAGAGCTGGTGACCATCTCCAGCTCCTACTCATGTGAGCTGTTGATCAGCTCCAGCTCCTACTCATGTG